GCGGTGGACGGGACGGGAGGGGGTCCGACAGGAGGAGCGGTGGACGGGACGGGAGGGGTCCGACAGGAGGAACGGACAGTATGAGAGCGATCTGACGGAAGCGGTGGGCGGCCCGGAAGCGGCCCAGCGGTCCACCTAACAGTACCACCACCAGCGCCATACTACTGGACAGCCCGATCCAGCGCAAGGCGTCTTGCGGCCGGCCCCGCGCCTGACACGGCGCCAAACACGGCCCTCCAGGCCGACCTCTGCGTCATGCGCACCGCACGAACTCCCATGGCGCCAGAACCAGAAGCCGGAGGCCCCGGCGGCACCGCATAGAAACAGGCGCCTGCAAGCGCGGTCTGTTGCCACGCGCGTGCGCCCGCTCGCGACAACGGCAGTGCAGTGCCTCGTCCGGAGGCGTGGTTCGGAATACATTCCAAAGCTCTGTGAATCATTTCGATCGTCTCTGAACAGCTGAGCGCCGTTCAAAAGGGCGCGTAGCTGCATCACGAGCTCATGGCATCCGGCTACGTAACGAGCTTGTGCTTGATCTGCAGGATTCACACCGGCGTGTTTTGCACTAAACCGGCATTACGAGCGTCTCGAGCTGCGTGGTAAGCCGCATCAGCACGCTCTTCTATCATGCGCCAAGCAGATTACGATGAGTATTTCCATTGCATTAGCTGGCGGATTCCTAGCCAAAGAGCCCAGTGCCAGTTCTGCCGAGCGTTTCCACGTTAAGCCCTTCGACATAACAAAAATCCCGACTGCCATTGGTATTTTGGTCACACAAGGGACTCGCTGTGAATGTCCTAGGACGCCAAAACAGCACCCAACGGCCCTCGTCGTGAGCAATCCCCTTTCCATAAACGGGGTGCTTACCCGCCGCTGCAGTACGCGGGCACCAGACAGGTCCGCCGCGAGCACGTGGGCGGCCGGGCCGGAGGAAGGCGGCCGGTTCCGCCACTGCCACCGCTGCGGCGGCGCTCAAGGTCGGAATGCGGGGAAGCTGCGCCGGCTGGGTCAGACCAGCTGACCTATTGCGAAACGCGCGTCCGCCAAGCCAACTCTGCATTCAATGATCACCTGCATTGGAAAACTCCCACAGTTGCACTTTCATGCTTGGAAAGCAAGCATCCTACATGTAACAAGGCAATGTCTGACACACAAATAGCCGGCTAGTTATTCCTTTGCTTAATATTGTACTTATTTGTTGGAAAGACATCAGCATGTGGGAATAGATTTAACTTCTTTTTGTACTTAAAAACCTGAGCAGCAAAAAAATAACAATGGTAAGTTTGATTTCTTACAATTCACAGGTTATAGACCTGTGAATTTGTCACCAGAATTTGGTTTGGGCACACAGGTAATGAGAAATAACAGGCACTTGGTTTCAGGCTAACTAAGGAAGCACATAGCAACACATTTCAATGAAGTTATAGATACGATTTCTAAGAAAATTTAGCACAATTTCATCCCATCACTGTTTTCAAATTTAAATGCAGGGTTAAGGCAACTAAACATCCTATAATTATTCATACTGACCAACTTTCGCTAGGCCATATAAATGTCAAAATATTGCAGCCATGACAAATCTTGTCAAAAATCGCATAATTCATGCTCGCATATGTAACAAATCATGTCTGTACTGTTAGGTGACCAACACTCATCAGCTCCCTTTTGTGGTATCTTTTGTAAAAAAAATTCATAGTCAGTAAGTCAACATGCAGCTTTTAGTATTACCATCTTGATCTGAAGGAGATGACTGCATGGTAAATCAAGTTTACCTTTTTGACCTTCATGTACCATTTAATTTTATATTGTGAGCTAAATAACAGATAAAAAATGACCTGCCTCTAGCCCAAACCAAACCAGAGCATCCATATGAAAATATTATTCTAAAAGCACTGTCATTAGCGTGTGTTTAAAACGGAACTGTGTAGAAGTATTTTCAGACATTCCAATGTGGTGAGAAGCATATTTTTAGTCAATGTGCATAAAATTGTAGACTAATGAAACTCAGTACCTGCACAGCTAGAACTGTCACTAGCAAAATCGTTTACCCAAAAGGTTTGTCAATTTTCAATGTAAGCATCATTATATATTCACAACTCAACTGTCTAACATTTACAGCAAACTACGCACAACAAGTTACTCAGACTGCAACACATGCTGCACATGAAGCACACAAGTACCTAAACATAATCAGCCCACAGGTGAGCCATCCCACATAGTTGTTGTTGCTTTTTTGGTAATCATAACATGTCACTTAGACATTGCTAGCAACATAAAATCTGGGCAACGCCGGCGCAGGCCTTGCACTAGGTAAAACAGTGCGCACCATCTAAACCCAGCAAGCAAGCCATACACAATTGTCACCAATACGTGCGCCAGATATTTATTAATTCCTCTCACACCTTCATATAGCTCTAGGTTCCATACAATGCCAGTGAATTACGTCTTTCCTTACGTCTATCACTCATGATGTCTACAACCGGGCGTATGAACCGGCGGTGTAGCTGTCACCTAATCGTGGTAAGTTCGGTAATACTTCCAGCTGATCGTACGTTGACGTCACAAAGCCACAAAATCACTGCCGCCCCAGCGATAGTTTGCGTGTTTAAGGCCAGCAAGTCAATGGGATGGGACCTGGGCGCATCCCGTCACGAAGCGGTCCCTACCAGTCACACAGCAAACAATGATTGAAAGTTGTGTGCTGTAGGAGAAGGCCCATGGATTACTTTGCATGATCTTTGAGATGAAAATGAGATCCCGCCGGATGGCAACGGCCGAGATGGATAGGACAAGGCCACCCTATGGACGAGGCCGGACAGGACCCGACAGGAAAGACCAAACCAGGGGAGACCGGGCGTTCCAGACAAGACTGGGTGAACAAGACGAGACCGGGCAGACTGCACGGATGCAGATAGGACCCGACGGGATCAGACATAACCAGGCGGGATTAGACGGCATCCGAGGGACCATACATGACTGAAAGGAACCGGACGGGGTGGAACATACAGGGCGGGACCAGGCGGAACTGGACAAAATGTGATGCGGCCAGACGGGACCGAATGGGATACGACTAGAAGTTACTGGGACGAACTGGACATGAACGAATGGGACCGGACCAAACTAGACGGGACAAAACGACCGGGCGGAATCAGACAGCATGGAACAGTATCTTAAGTGACTGAAAAGAATCGGGTGGGACAGAATGGGACCACACAGACTTCGACAGGGTCGGACCGGATCAGACAGAGCCAGATATAGCATCATTAATGGAGACAGAACCGGGGGAAAAACCGACCAAATAAGGGGAAACCAGGCAGGACGAGACCAGACGGGACCGGATGGACCCGGAAGGGACCTGACATGACCGTGCGGGATCAGACGGGACCAGGCGGGACTTGCCGACGGAAGTCCCGCTCTTCGCCACTGTTGGCCACTGACCAACACATGGCCCCTCATTTTTCAGGTGCCTCATAGAATACAAATCGCGTACCCGGCCTCGCTGCTCCTCGTGAAATGGTCCCCTGAGCTGAGTCCAACACGGAGTTAACTGTTGGGTGCCGGTGATATCCGGCCGGACTAGAGGCGCACATTCCCCAGGACGATTTCAACCGATGCAAGGGTCCATCTGGTTGACATCTGAAGTCCCGGCCCAACGGGCTGGGAGCCCGAATGTGACCTACAGCCAGCTCTTCGGGCCCTTCACCCTTTCTTTCGGGCCTTTGATCGCCAGCCTCGATGGGTATTTTGGGCCTCTCTTTAGACACCCTCTGCCACTGCTCCGGTCGATTCGCGGCACTTTGCCAACACAGGGCCCTCTGTGGAGTTCTGGCCAACCCGGGTCATGGGCTCAGAGGCCAAACCAATGTAAATCACGGGCCACAGTCTTGTGCTTATTTAGCGAATTGGTCCTCAGGTCCCCACCGACGCGGGCCTGACTGTTCGGCACTGATGCTGCCTGAGCGACATAGGGGATCCCACCGACTCGGGGGGGGGGGGGGGGGCAGTTGACGGAAAGGGCTCTCTGGCTGGCATTTGAGAGTCCGGCAATGCGAGTCGGGTCGGGAGAATGCGTTCATGCCGCTGTGCCCTTCTTCTTCCCTGCATCGCTGCCCAGACAACAGCGTAAGGGCTACCGAGTCAAAGCAAAGAAACGATGACAACGTGGAAGACTCCTTACGGATCGGATAACCCGGTAAATGACATATAGGGCCACTAGCAAGAGCGGTTCCCGGACAGCATAATGAGCCTCAAAATTTCACTTTCCTCCCTTAATCAGTGAATAAGTATATTTGCCTGCTCATTGGTATTTCACTGTCGCTTGCGACTCCTATCGGTCGCCTGAGGGCCTAAGGGCCTAGGACCTGCTAAAAACTGCTCCCGTTCTATGGGTCTATGGGTCTCTTGGGGCCACAAGAAGAGCCTTGGTGCTGTGACTTCCTCTCTGGATCCTCTACTAGACACATGCGGTCCCCTATGAAATTGCTAACAGTTTCTAAGCTGTTAACAGTTAACAGTTTGTTAACAGTCACCGTACGAAACTGTCACCAGTAGCAGCAGTGATCTAGTACTCTTATGACGTCATCGTACAATTAGCTGGAGGTGTTAGCGAAGTTCACTACAATCAGCTGGCAGCTGCACCGCCGATTCCTACACCCTGGAGTGAAGACTGGATTGGGCGACAGACGTGAGGGAAAACGCAATTAACTGACATTATATAGGCTGTGGAGCTATATGAAGGTGCTAGAAGAAATTCATAAGTGTCTGGTGAGTGAAATGATAACTTTTTGTATCATTTGCTTGCTAGACTTAGCTCATAGACCACTTTACTTAGTGTGAGGCCTGCATCAGTGTTACCCAAGAATCAATATGGGCAAACAACATACCTAATCAAGCAAACTGAACATACTGCTGATGACATTAGCACTTACTATCGCAGTGTACAGGCAATTGTTTGAATGAGAGTATAGCAGCAGACATAAAATATCCACATTCATTCTTACCCCATTATGGAGACTATGTGTCGCGTGACCCTTGACGTGACCGTTCTTCACGGGCTTCACTTCAAGTCCATTTCTCTTCTGTTCAGCCGTCATTACGTTCAAAATGGAACCGCGATTTGCCAGTCGCTAAAGAGCGAAGTATCGCAAATTATTTCTGAGCCGGTCAACAGCCTCTTGACAATCACATACCACGAGGCACTTGAAATACTAGAGACGACGATCACAGACGAAGGTGTAACACCACTGACGATTATGTTTGTGAATATGAAAACCGAGTGTGCCCCCGCCCACAAACGCACGCCCGCTACCACTGCTGGCGCCGCGCCGCCGTCGCCCACTCGCATGGTTCGCCCCTCCCTCCCAGCAAACATGTGCTACCAAATACGGATAAAGGTCACACCAAATCTGGCGTATTTTTCAGCAAATGTCTCCAAACACACCGATAAACTCGTTAGATATTTCGTCAGCATTAAATGACTCAAAGATGTGATGGAATAGGATACGTTTCATCGCGTAGGATATTGGATGGTGGCACGTGGCCAGCCCACTCATAGACTCTGCCAGCCCGCTTGCGGACTCCGCCAGCCCGCTTGCGGACTCCGCCAGGCCACTTGCGGACTCTGCCAGCCCGCTTGCGAACTCCGCCAGGCCACTCGCGGACTCTGCCAGCCCGCTTGCGGACTCCGCCAGCCCGCTTGCGGACTCCGCCAGCCCGCTTGCGGACTCCGCCAGCCCGCTTGCGGACTCCGCCAGCCCGCTTGCGGACTCCGCCAGGCCACTCGCGGACACCGCTACCTCGCCGCCGCCAGCAACATCCCTCCCCCAGCCATCAGCGATGGCGAGAACACATGCGTCAGGACGCGGCGCGCATGTCGGGCGCGACCGTCGAGTCAGGCGAGTTTGTGGGGGTCAGAGGGACGTGGCTGACAGTTTTTCTGCTTCAGCTGGTGTAGCTCTAGGGGAAGAGGTGGCCGGCCGAGGCGCGCATTTTTATCGGCCTTCAAGAACTGGCCCGGGAGTGTCTTCAATGCCTGATCGCCGAGAGGAACGTCGCCCGCCAAATCACGACTGAATATGGCACATTATAGGTGACAGCTGGCCTTGAATCGTGTGCTATCGCGTACACGTGCATGAGCTCGTGGTGCTCGGAAATCGAACATCAGCCCGCTCGACTGTCCGTTGCTCTGGGAGTGCGCGACGCTTGGCGCTGGCTGCACTTCGCCGCTGATCTGACGCTGCGCGTGAGCGCGGCACCGCTCGCCGTGTCCCGGCAGCACTGCAGCACCACCTGGCACACTGTGCAGCTGCGGCTGAAGCGCCAGGCTCACCGGCTGGGGAACACCTCCGGAGCGTGCCTGCTCCTGCGTACTGGCGGCTGTCGCGGCCGCAGCGACGCCACCCGCGGCCGGGCGCTTTGCGTTGAGGCTCATATTCCCGTGCTCCAGCACTTTGTCTTGTGGTGAAATACAGATGCTCTTGTGTGGAGGTGCATTTACTAATACATTCAAGCACATCTTTTCACGATATCGAAGCAGATCTCTTAACGCTAGTGAAGCGTATTTCAGTCATGTTGAAGTCTAGGACAACGAGCCACAGCATGAGGTCATGCGGGTTGACGTGCTGGCGGGTTGTTCCCGATGATGGTGAGCGGGGATAAACCAGGAGGGCGAAATAATACACCATGCAAATTGTGCGACTGATGCCGTCTGGCACATGGCACATCCATTCATGCATATTTTTTTGGGACGCGTGTAAACTCACTCATCAATGCATCTTATTAGAACAGCTCTGCTGCTTAATCCATTACAAGGTGTATATGCACAAAATGCTGTTCTTGTGTAAGTCGGCTCAAATCTGAGTATATTTACACATGGAGTACTCTTGTGTAAGGCCACTTGTGAGTACATCTACCTAAATGTGGCCCCGTGAACAAATCGACTCACGTCTGAAGAGATTTACACGGAGTCCCATTTTGAGTACATACACTCAGCAGCGGATGTAAGCAGACAAGCTTTTCTGTGCAAATGGGCTCATGGCGTAATATACACAGAGTCGCCATTCTGTGTAATTCCACTCTGTGAGTGTGAGTAATTCCGTGAGTGTGAGTGTGAAGGGGAATATTTCACATCTGAAGATATTGAGGCAGGCATCAGATGTCATGAAACAGACCCACTTGTTACTATTAATACACTTGTAGGCAAAAAGATTTCTCTGTTTAGCAAACATGCTCCTCCATACGTCATTGTTTGATTACGTCATCATACCTGATTTAGAGTCGGTGGACGGCCGTTATTTCTAGAAATCGTGCTTATGAACTCCATTTATGAACGTCTCGACCACTGTATTTGTGTCGGCCTTGATCGCTGCATTGCTCATGGATTGACAGGATTTGAATGACGATATTATGACGTCATAAGTGCCAAGGTGACCTGGAAATACTCTTCCCGAAATACCGTCCCCGTTTTCGCGGATCTGTAGCTCAGAAACTAGAGGGGCTTAGGTTTCAAGAAGGACAGGGCCGTGGACTGCACTGAAATGTTGTCAAGATAACTACTTGAGTTCACAGCCCCGCACAAATGTGGAACGCTCCCACGCAGACGAGCTGTTCTGAATAGATGCATTCAAGACGTAGTTTTATTTGCACTCATTCCTGATCGAAAATATCAGCCCTGCCTGATGATGTTCACAAGACCCTGATCTTGACCCAGACCTCAGGCTGCATGCGGCTATGCTGCTATGCACGTGTTATGTTATAGGGGCCGGTCTGCAAACTATAGCAGATTCTGACAACATCTCGTTCGGGTAGATGTGGAGCGTAACTCTTAATTTCAGGCTGCTCATCGATTTATTTTTTTTTGGGGGGGGGGCAGACATCACTGTATCGGTTCCATGACTTCATTCATGTGCTATTAAAAAGGTACATGCCTTCAGTCCTCGTGGCTGGCACACCCATTCAACTCCAAAAACGTCCGGGATTTGAAGGGCTGTTCAGGTGCGCGTTGGTGTTGCTGCGGTTTAAAATGGAGGTCAATGCGCATGCGCGAAAGTGGCGTCGTAAGTCTGACTCGATATAGACAGAAGCGCAATTTTGTGTAAGTCGACTCAAAACTGACGTGATCTACACAGGGAAACCATTTTCAGTAAATCGACTCATCGGTCGATAAATACGCCATCGATTTTTATCCACTCATTGCCAGGCTTCAAACACAGCAAGTGCCAGCCTGATGTTTTTAAAGAAAAAAACCGTTGCAGAATTTTTAAAAGCGTGCTCGTCCCTCTACCGGCTCTCAACGCAGTCGCCATCGCACCAGGCCTGGAGCACGACCGAAGCGTGTCCAGGCCTGGTGCGATATGTGTCTATTCGCTGATGCTAGTCGCCATCGCATCAGGCCTGGTGATATATGCGTCTATTCGCTCCTGGTTGTCTTCGGCCACCCGGTCGTTGCAACCAGGACCGACATGGCGGCGTGATGACTGCTGCACCTGGGGCACGCCCACAGCCTCCAACCACCTGTTGTTGAAACCCTCTGCCCTTTCCTCAACACCGCTGTGAGGGATTGCATGATCGTATGCGATGACCGACACAGAAGTGTAATATAATTTGGAGTGCGTTAGGAGGGCCCCCATCTCCTCTGTGCACATCTTCCGAAGCTTGACCGCGACGCTCGTGCGGTTTGGCTTTGTGCTCAAATGTCGCTGCGGGTTCGCCCGGTCCTGTTGTTGGTCTTCATCAGCCATGAGAGTAACGGGTACACAGGGTCACTGGCTATCATGAGGAAACCTCGGTACCCCCGGCGCGCATGGATCCTTATCCTAAACAACATGTGTTATTTACCTATTCGCCTCCGCTGAATAAATTCCGAAGGCAATAGAAGCGACGCAGCCGACAGTCCTTGCGAGTATTTGAGCGCTGCCTGTGTTTTAAGCGCGACAATGATAACTAGCAACAGCGTTATTTTTTTCTTGAAACAACGTTGACAATATTGCGCGGACATAAATATTCAAATCAAGCATCTGGAAACATGTTTACCACCCAGCCTACACAGGTTTTCCCAGCTAACAATTTCTTGTGGCCCTGGCTGGGCACACTTGTATAGCAGCACGGTGAGGTCTGGATCCTGCCAGGCCTCACTGTCTTAAATTACAGATAAGGGATTAAGTTGCGGATTAAGCTGCGGTTTAAGATAACGGGCTAAGCTGCGGCTCTACCCAGGAACCCAGCTTGTACCAGGCTGGGAGCTTACCGTGCTTTTTGCCGCAAATGTCGTTGCAGGATGCCAGTGAGATATGGCGGGGCTCGGGCGGATTCCCCAGTCGGTCTCGAATTATGGCGCAGTACTTGGTAGCGGCCGCCCCACAGTTGCGTGTATGCGGTTGGTGGTGACCCGCAGCTCGTGCATGCGGGTGGTGGTGACCCACAGTTGCGTGTATGCGGGTGGTGGTGACCTACAGTTCGTGTATGCGGGTGGTGGTGACCCACAGTTGCGTGTATGCGGGTGGTGGTGACCTACAGTTCGTGTATGCGGGTGGTGGTGACCCGCAGTTGCGTGTATGCGGGTGGTGGTGACCCGCAGTTGCGTGCATGCGGGTGATCATGTGGGTATTGTGGGTGTAATAACGCGAACACATAATATGTAAATTCGGAAACGAAGTCCGAGTGGGATAAGCCGTACAAATATCTAGACCTGCTGACTGCGTGCTTGCTAGGACACTTGTTGTCAAAGTAGAAATGCATGAGGCAAGATTATGTGAGCTCAGGCATCATGGGTATTTAAAGTATGCACCCCCAATATGGTTAGGGCAAAAGAACGTATGGGAAAGTACGCTCGGCTGAAGTGCGTACCGAATTGTTTGCAATCACTTATACGTGAGGCATAAAGTTCGTATGGTGGAAGTACGTTCGCCAAACTTCGTACTCAAAAGTTTTTAAGCAAATGTTCTCATCGTATAAAGTGTGCATGAATATATCCGTACTGATAAAAGCTTATCAGGACAAAAGTTGGTGTGAAAAAGTTGGTATCCTTAAAGGACGCACGCAGTTATTCGTAAGCAATTAAACGTAAGCAAATGCTCGTAACGGATACGGCTACCTTAGCAAAAGTACGCACGCAAACGTTAACGAGCAGCAAGGGCATAGGAATTGGGGTCCGTGGGTGTCCCCCCCCCCTCCCCAAGAGAATTTCCAATGACTCTGAACATGGAACTTATGGCGGTGCGTGGGGAGAATTGATGTGGGAATAATGAATAGTGCTCCTATGGGGAGTGTCCCAGGATAGATCGACCACCCCGGCACCAA